TTGGGGTATTATTAATTTTAATTTGTGGAAACCTAATTCACCTCCCTCTTAGGTTGATTTTTGGGTAACACAACCTAAATAAATATGATATATATTTTATGTTATTAAATAACTACAAAATATATAAATATATTTTATAAAAACCATACATGTAACACCCTCATTTTTTAATGTATAAATGAATATATAAATATAAAGATTTTGATTAATTATCTATAATTAAATATCACATTAAATTAATTAAATATCATATTAATTTCTCATGTATCCACACAATTAATAAAACCAAAAATAAAATAAAGTAATAATAACAATAATAATAATAAGTAATGACTTAAGAAAATTAAGGTCGTTACACTTCCACTGCTGCTACCCCTGCTACAGGTACATCTACTGTTTTCCATGTTCAGTCTACTAGTCCCTCATAGGTTCTGGATCCTAATCATATGACGGATGAGTTTTTCTTTCTTTCTTCTCCAGTCCCTACTACCATAGTCCAATATGTTTTCCTCGCTGATGGTTATTCAGCTTCTGTTCATCATAAGGGTGTCGTGTCTTTATCTCATACCCTTACTTTATCATCTGTTTTACATGTCCCCAATTTTGCATATAATCTCTTATCTATTAGTCATCTTGCCAAACAGTTTAATTGTGCTGTCATCTTCTTACCCTTTTCTTGTCTTTTACAGGACCTGAGTTCGAAGAGGATTTTTGGCAACGGCTATGAGTGTGATGGGCTTTACTACTTCAGGGACCCACTGAACGAGCCTTCTACTTCTTCTTTAGCTCGTTTCCAAGCCTCTATTTTGCTTGCTTCTTTGTCTTATGTTTTTAATATTCAAACTTTAGAACTTTGATATGCTCGTATAGGTCATATTAATTTTCAGTATTTATGTCAGCTTTTTTCGCCTTTTAATAAAGCTTGCAAAGATTTTAAATTTCATTGCGTGGTTTGTGAGCTGTCTAAACATACTCATACTAGCTATATCCTTCACATGACTCGTGCAGCCTTTGACCTTATACATTCTGATATGTGAGGGCCTTCCCCGATTACTACCTTTTTTGGTTATAGATATTATGTAACCTTTATTGATGATTACACTCGGTGCACTTGGGTCTATCTTCTTCGTTGTAAGTCCAAAGTGTTCTCAATATTTTGTTCGGTTTTTACATATGATTAAAACTCAATTTCGGGCAATTGTTAGGAATATCCATTCTAATAATGGTGTGCAATATATTTCTAATGAATTTCGTTCCCGTCTTAATCAAACTGATATTCTTTAACAACTTACTTGTCCTCAGACCCCTAAACAAAATGGTATTGCTGAACGCAAAAACCGTCACATTATGTCTGTCGTCTGTTGTCTGTTGTCTCCTTCGGGGAATGCATGCTCCCAAATCTTATTGGCATATGGTTGTCCTCACTGCTATTTACCCCATTAATAGAACGCCTAGTCGTGTGTTGCATGGTCTTACTCCGTTCCATATTCTTATGCCCACTACAACTCTATTTCCTATATTACCTCGTGTCTTTGGGTGTACCTGTTTTGTTCAAAATTGGAGTCCCACTCGCACTAAATTAGATGACACGTCCATTCAGTATATTTTCTTAGGGTACTCTTCCATGTCCAAGAGGTATAGATGCTATGATCCTGTGTATCATCATTTTCATCATACTTTGGATGTTACTTTTTGTTAAGATGTTCCATACTTAGGTACTAACCCTCCTTTGTAGGCTCCTACACCTGTTTCTTCTAGTGTTCGTCTGGTGCCTATTTTGGATGAGGTTGAGGTTGAAGCTGAGGTTGTTCCCCTTCCTTCTCCTCAACCTTCCCCTTCTTTCTCTCCCCCATTGCTGGTATACTCTCGTCGCCCACGCTCTCAGCTGCCCTCTGCCGCCTCTCGGCTTTCTGGCTCAGGTAACTCTTCTTCATCTCCTTCGTGTCCTACACCTCCTCCACCTCCTCGTCGTAACCCACCTCGGGCTCGACACCCTCTGGCTCGTTTGAGTTATTTAAGTAGTAATAATCATCCCATTTCCCAATATCTTTCCTATAACAGGGTTTCCGACTCTTATCTCTCTTTCCTTGGCAAACTTGACTTGGAGTCTATTCCTCATTCTGTGTTAGAGGCCCTTCAGAATCCAAAATGGATAGTGGCTATGCAGACTGAGATGGCAGTCTTAGAATAGAGCCATACTTGGGATCTTATATCTTTACCTCGTGAGGAAAGCATCGTTGGTTGCAAGTGGGTATTCACTATCAAGTATCTTGCAGATGGCTCAGTTGACTGTTACAAGGCCCGCTTGGTGGCCAAAGGTTTCACATAGATTCCTAGCAAGGATTTTTCTGCCACCTTTGCCCCTTTGCCAAGCTTACTTCTGTGTCTCTCCTCATCTCTCTTGCAGCATCACATTCTTGGCATCTTCATCAGCTTGACGTCAAGAATGCTTTCTTTCATGGAGATTTACTTGAGACGATTTATATAGATCCTCCACTTGGTTTTCAAACAGAGGGGGAGTATTCGGGGAAAGTGTGTCGATTACGCAAATCACTATATGGTCTAAAATAGTCTCCACGAGCATGGTTTGGTCACTTCAGTTCTATTATCATCTCCATGGGTTTTGTTCAGTGCCATTCAGATCATACTTGTTTCATCAAGCATAATTCTGTAGGACAGTGTATCATCTTGTTGGTTTATGTAGATGACATTATTCTCACACGTGATGACGCTGCCGGCATTGGTCAAGTAAAGGAGAACTTGGGTCAAACTTTTGATATCAAGGACCTAGGAAGTCTCAAGTATTTTTTGGGGATTGAGGTTGCAAGCTCAAAACAGGGAATTTCTTTGTCTCAAAGAAAATATACTCTTGATTTGCTTAAGGATACTGGTATGTTAGGGTGTAAACCTGTTTCTACTCCTATGGATCCTAATGTCAAACTCACATCAGAGTCTGGTGAATTGTTGGATGACCCTGCCATGTATCAGCGTCTTGTAGGGCATGGTTACCGCAACCGTTATGCTACGACCTTTACACCCCGCAACCGCAACCGCGTCACCGCCACCGTTACGGCAACCGCAACCACTTTTCAGAACCTTGGTTGTGAGTCAATTTATGCATGCACCTCGTACAGAGTATCTTGACGCAATTCATCATATTTTGAGGTATTTGAAGACTTCTCCTAGCTTGGGACTGTTTTTCACAGATGGTCTTCAATCTGGATTCTCTTGTTTCACCGATGCCGATTATGAGGGGTCTAGAACTGATCAACATTCCACATCTAGCTTCTATACTTTCTATGGTGATCATCTTAAATCATGAACAAGTAAAAAGCAAGCAGTAGTGTCTAGGTCATCTACAGAGGCTGAGTATCGAGCTATGGCACAAGGAACATGTGAGCTTCTTTGGGTTCGCTCTATTTTGATAGAGTTGGGTTTTACTGAGACTGCTAATATGCTCCTTTCTCTTTATTTTGTGATAACAAGTCTGCCATTATGTTATCCTTTGATTTTGTGCTTCACGAGCGCACCAAGTATATTGAGGTTGACATATATTTCATTAGAGAAAAGGTTCAGATTGGTATTGTAAATCCATCATTTTTCTCTTCTTCACAGCATTTAGCAGACATGTTTACCAAGTCCGTAGGACCATCTTTCCTTCAATCATCCATTGCCAAGCTGCGTTTATCAAATATCTTCAAGCCAGCCTAAGGGGGAGTGTTGAAATGTAGTACACAGAATATTCTAGAATAGGACCCTTTTTCGTTATGGCCATTGTTTAGGTCTTAATTTTATTTCCTTTTCTATGTTATTTCCTATTTTGTACAGTTTCCTAATATTGTATATATTGATCTATATATATTCATGGGTTGACCTCAATTGAGATCAAGCCAATTCATTCTTTTATTCTTCTGTTTCTAGATCTTCTGCAGAGGTTGAGTATCGGGTTATGGCACATGGGACATGTGAGATTTTTTGGCTTCGATCTATTCTGGCAGAGTTGGGTATTGAGAAGACTGTTCCTTCCTCTTTATTTTGTGATAACGAATCTACCATTATGTTATCCTTTGATTCTGTGCGTCATGAGCGTACCAACCATATCGAGGTTAACATATATTTCATTAGAGAAAAGGTTCGGACTGGCATTGTGCGTCCATCATTTGTCCCTTCTTCTCAGCAGTTGACAGTTATGTTCACAAAATCTATGAAACCAACTTTGCTCTAGTCTTCCATTGACAAGTTGCGTTTGTTGAATATCTTCACGCCGGCTTGAAAGGGAGTGTTGAATAAACAAACTAGAATATCGTGTTTAGAATAAGAATTAGAATGTTTTTATATTGATTGTAGGAATCTCTCTTCTTGTTTATATTGTTTTCTAAAATTGTATCATAAATATGTCGTATATACATGGCATCTACCTCATTCAAAGGTAAACCAAATAATTCTCTCCATTCTTTTATGCAAAGGGAAGATGGGAAAAAAGAAACTAAATACAACTTGGACAAGCTGACTATAGACATTAATCAAAAGGCATGCAAAAAATATCATTAACTATTCTGTGGAATAAACAGACAGACAGAGTAGTGGTAATTGAAGTTGCATTACTTAAGATACTAAAGTTTGATGGTCATTTGTATTGATTATAATGTTGTTATTTCTAGGAATCATTTGATTCTTTTTCTGGTGCTGCTTGTTTTCAATTATTTGGGAAAAGCCAAGTATTCTTCACCACAGGAGGCTGAACAAACAGCAAATATTTTCAATCATCAAGTGGGCAAGGCAACACACTCTTTTGAATAAAGTTCAACGTCTAGACATTCAACTCATCGATGACTGGGGATTGCGAGAAAACAAAACAATGCATTTGTTTGCTCTTTAGTACCTTAACATTGTAATTCCATCCAAAATAATCATTTTAGACATGTAGTCAATTGTACACCCATGCAAACATTGAAAGCCAAATAAAATTCATTCACCAAAGCTTAAAAGCTTTTACTTACAACACTTGCAGATTCTCCATTTTCCAAATATATTCAGGGATTTCACCGGAAATGTTGCAGTTTCTCAAAACCCTATATCCAAAAATTGAATTACATCAACTAATGGAGGGTGAAATGCACATATATACATGTGTAAATATTGAACAATATAAACATCAAACATACAATATTTCTAGCCCTGCGGTGTTGCCCAAGTTAGGAAATTCCTGAGCTGTCCCATTTATGTCACTAATTCTCCTGGTTAAAGAGACGACCCATGAGCAAATTCCATTGATAGTACACTAATAATAAAATAAATACACAAATTAGAACTACATTGTTGATTTAATGATATTTTGTACTCACAATTTAATTAACTCATTCAGAAGGGATATGTTTTGTGGAATGGGTCCCTCAAGTCCACTTCCGTGCATTTCTCTTCATTGACAAAAATAAGAATTAAAGGGTATATATATAATGGAAGGTCTTGTCAAAGTGTGCCCTTAGGGCACATGTTAAGCAAGCTTAAAATGATTGTACATTCTTTATTACACGCACATTCATGAAAAATGTAAAATCACTTTAAACTTCTTAACATATGCCCTAACGGCACACATTAACAAAATCCAAAATGGAAAACCAAAATGTAACCAGTCAATCTCTAGAGTCACTTTTCGGAAGATGAGAATCTTACAATCTCTGAAGTTGTTTCCAGTTCTGTATAAAATCAGGTATTGCTCCGCTGAAGTTGTTATCATTTATCCTACTACATTGTGCAAGAGACTGGTGCTGAATCGACGCCATTATCAAAACTGCAATAGCAAAATCAAGGAAGATAATATAGAAACTTACAAATCTGTTAAATTCTGTAGCTCAGCAAATGAAGTTGGTAGCTTTCCACTCAACTGATTCGAGGACAACATCCTGAAGTTCCAATGTCATGCAGACGAACAAACATGTTAGATATTCTTTCATCCTTCACAAATTTGATTCAAGGAGTAACCATTAGTAAAAAAAGAATGAGACGTCTTACAAAGTATTCAAGTTATTAAGTTTCCCAAGTTCAGGAGGAACACTGCCAGAAAATTTGTTTGCTTCAAGATTCCTGGTTCAAAATCTCCATTGAGATTACTAAAAGAGAAAAACAGGAATATCACTGCTACATTTTCTTGAAAATCCATGGGCCAAAATGATGCCCCTGTCGAGAAGAAAATTACACAGCATGTTGTTGATTTTAAGAAAAATAAACACACTTAAAAATGAGATAAAGGGTGTGCTTAGTCCAGTTTCAGTTCCAATACTAGTTTTGAAGATTTGACCTCAGTTTCACAGACTTCAATTATCACAACACTCTTCAGAAAGAAAATTGATAAGAAACAGTAGAAACATACAGGAATGTGAGACTGGAAACATTTGCCAGTTCCTTCGGAATTTCCCCTGATAAGCGGTTTGCAAGAACAGAGCTGCATCAAAATTCCATGTCTAATTTTGTTAAAGGAGAAACTTATAATCACTGAGATACTCTGAGAGAGAGAGAGAGAGAGAGAGAGAGAGAGAGAGAAATTACATTGATTTCAACTGCATAGAAAACCATTCATGTGGAATTGTACCACTGAGGTAATTGTATGCAAAATCACTATGAAAGAGATAAGGATGAAATACGTTCAATATACCAAGATTTTTATATCATATTTTGAGAACCATGTATAAATCTAATGTCAAAACTTTGGAACATTGGTATTTGAAAGACCCTTACATAGTTTGGATATAAGGAAGCTTCACCAATTCAGGCGGGAGCACGCCAGGAAGACTAAAACCCTTAAGCACACTGAATATGTGGAAAAGAAAAATGAAATTGTTAAAGTCCATGCCTGGTTGGCATTAAAAATTAATTTTAACAACAATATATAATGGCAAAAATTGGGATCAAGACAAAACTGAAAGAGACTTCCTGATGGGGAACACAAAGGAGTTGGATAAAGATTTAATGATTTATTTGGCATTATTGGATTTTATAATTTTATAGGGTTGTAAAGTTTTATTATAATTTAATTATTGTAATGTTCTATTTTTAGTAAACTTTTCATAATGGTTTCCTAGGATGCCTATAGGATCTAGATTTTGGATATTGATTATTGAGATATTGATTTGGGATTGGTTCTCTTTTTTTTTTTTCTTTTTTTTCTTTTCAGGCTTCTTCAGTTCTTCGGTGCTACATCACTTCCTTAATATTATGAACCACCTTTTGCTGTTGCTTTATGTTCAATTGATCAATGTATAACATCCATTTTCACCTAAGAACTTTAGGAAGACATAAGCTATTTGATCTAATGAAGATGGAAGCACAATGCACATGGTGTATTAGGAGTAGCCAGAATGAAAGTCTCAATGGCCAGTCACAGTTTAAAAGGGAGTCAAGGATGTTGAACATAACCCTACATAACATTAAGTCTCCTCCTAAAAATTTTTATGTTGTCAATTTCAAATGTAATAACATCAATCTTTGGAATTCTATCAGAGTTTGACGTATACCTTTTTAGTTTTGAGAGTACAGGGTCCACCCCCTTCAAGGCGGTTTCTTTTTGGTTAATAAACTTAACCTACTAAAAAAATAAAAATAAAAATAGAATCACACTGAACATAATTGTGTGGAAGACTTGGAGAAACATCTTTAGTAATAAGACAAAGAAATTATACATCGTTGTGACATGACAATAGATGTCATTCGTGAAGTTGCATGGGCAATAAACAGTGCTCTGAGATCCACTTGGTGCCTGTGGTGTTACCCCGACCTGTTCAACTTGGCATGAATCACCATTGAACTTCCAATATTTTGCACCCATTGTAATGGCAATTTGCTGGAGGGCATCCACTAAACAACATGTGCGAAAAAATAACCATAAAAATTGAGCCAATATTACTGAAATAAATTTGTCAAAAACAGACAATATAAAAAATTTACTCCAAAAGTAGATGATAAGTTGAAAAGGCAATTCATTTAACTGCAGACTCTGCTAATTAGAATCACAAGAAATTAGAGGTGATTTTCACTGTTCTTCAAACCATCACCCTCTATCAATCCTAAGCCAACAAAAACCTTCAGTATTGTTGTGAAGTTTTGGTAAAAAAAAACATAATAGATGCAGTGTGAGACACTAGGAAAGTTCACAAAATAATTAAAAATATGTAAGGAAGTTAATGACCAATTATATGTGAATAAGTTCTGAACTATCAATGAACTCATCAAAGTTAAATGGATCCTTATCTAAATACTAGGAAGTAGGTGATGGGCATCCAAACAATATTTTGTATGCTCCGTTTGGATTCTGTCTTCTATCAAATTATGGACTACTTGTCTTTATTTTTTTATCCATTCTCTTGTCTTAGCTTGAACCAAATCAGTCCTTCCTTCATGTGCAACTCTGTCTTGCACGTGAAGAGACAAACATACAACCAAACAGAGAAGTAGAATGCAAATAGAGAAACTAGAACCCAAGACCTCCAACAACTATAGCTCTAATACCATAGTAGATCACCAATTGTCCCAAAATCTTAAGTTGTTGGGAGATGGGTCCAGAAATGGATTTCAAGCCATCTAACGTGAATTGCCTTAAATAACCTTTTCTCATCTCGTATACTCATCTAACTTCCACAACATCCTTATATTATGTAAAAGATTCATGGAGTTTATATAATCTAGTTATACTCGTATACATTCCACCCACACATGTATTTTTTTTTTAAATAATTAATTATTTGCCATTCCAAATGTGGTTATGTTATGAATATTAAAATGTTACAAACTATTGTAATGATAAAAGTTTTGAACCATTGTTGTTTTGTTACGAATCATTTTCAAAAGAGCATACGGTATGCACCTTTCACACTGTAATTTGCAATTCATTACCATTCATGTAAAATGAGAATTATGCTCAATTCAAGATTCAAGATGCAGCAACAGATCCTTAATAAGAATCAATCAAAAAAGGGGTCAATCTTACTTCCTATTTGCACTTTTCTGGTGGTGCATCATTTAAGTTAATATTCCAACAAAAGGTGAATCACAGCAAATTTTTCTGGTGAACCAATGATAAAACCCATCGAAAAGTCTATGAGCAGTTTGGATTCAGAGGTTCCAAACCAATCAACATGCTGTGAAGCATGTTAGCATATTCAAGAAAATCAATTTAATAAGCAAGTTTAGTAGTGATTTCATAGACAGAATGAACCTTCTTGTTTCTGACATCACAGGTCCTTAATTCCCAATCACAGCAACCCACTATCTCTGTAATTGGTTTTAAAAAAAAAAAAGGCCTAAACTCAACCTAGAGGTCTTCCATTTGATTCGAGAAAATCAGACACAACAAAATAAAACTTCTAAATCTTTTGTTTGCTATTTCTTTGATTTTCCCCCAAACTCAAACTAAACTAACCCAAAAAGCCGAGGCAGGCACGTTTTAACTGAACCCAAACAATGAAACACCAACACTCAAAATTTCTGTAGTTTGATTGCTTTTTCTTGCATTTTCTTGGCACCCACACAGAAATAACCATCCATATAACATGGGGAAATCTTCTTACCTTCATCTTGTGGCAACTTTGACTCAGAAAATCTCAATGACCAGAAGCAACTTAGTCCAATAATCAAAAGCACAGCAGCGTTCCTGGGAAGTAAATTTTTGAGATAATATAGATACATATTTGTATATATATGTATATGAGAATTCATGTAAGAGCCTAATGAAGAATTGTCAGCCTCCTCTTCATTCTTATTTGTGAACTCAACATGTGTGAAGATGAGTCCGGAGCTGATCTGAAAAATAGTAAACAAAGAAAGTCGAACAATCCAGAGACAGATGTGAATAATGTAACAAAATAGAAGTAGCTGTTAGACATGGTAGTAATAGCAGCAGTAGTAGTAATAAATAGTAACCATATATGGAATGGAAGTATGGTGATCTATGAAACATAGGTGTTCCAAAAAAATATTGTAGCTGATATTTATCGGTCTATGATATTTTGTATAGTATTTTTTATATATGTTGGGCACATGAAATATTTATTTAAATTTTTTTTTCTTAATTTTTGATACATCTGTACGTACTTAGTATATATTCAAGCAGTATCATGCCTCAGTTAAAATAATATTTTCTTCTACTATAGAGATAAAACTCCTTTTACTATATATTTTTTTTAATTTTTGTATGCTTAGTATGATTTTAAAATTAAACTATAATTTGTAAGTTATTTAATATATTAAGATTTAATTTTGATTTATACTTTTATTTTTGACGTTAAATATTAATTATAGGTTAGATCTTAACAAATTAAACCATTTAATTAATTTTTATATTATTCTAAATTAAAAATACATATTTTTTTACCAACATACCAAATCATACTTATATCTTATTTTTTCAAATTTTATTGTATCAACGTATTTATAGTATATCAATATCAACACTCGTACCGATATCCCTACTTCATAGAAGGTTGTGTTTGAATTTTGCAATGCTTTAATGTAGGTGGATTGCCTTTGATCTATCGTTGGTTGGAGGGCATTCTTTGAGTCGGTTGGAGGGCACAATTTGGGTCAGTAGTGCGAGCTATCATCTTATTTTGGATCATTTGAATCGTGTATTTTGTAATGGTGATTATAATATATTTAATTTATTGTATTTGTCACTAAAAAAATAACAATAATTATATTTTTAAAAATAAATCATTCAATTTTTTAATAACCAACACGATAAATTAAATAAATTATTATTATCAAATCGATTTAATTTGTATATAAATAAAATACACAAAATATCTAACAAATTAAGGGGTGATTTAGGATGATCTAAATAAATGTATTTTTTGACTTATTATGGAATATGGGTTGGATTTAAAGTGATGTGATAGAGAGATGATGTGACTTAAGTAAAATAACGATTTTTTAATTTTTTAACTTTTTAATTTTTTTTAGATTATGACAAACAATGGCTTAATAATTCAAATTAACAAATCAAAACTTACAATAACAACTGCCTCATGTTTAAAAAATTGTGAATAAGCGGCAATCGAAGCAAGATCCTTTCCTTGAGGTTCTTACTTGACTTCCTACTTGCTAGGTCATTGGACCTACTTTTAGGCACAATTTTAATAATCCGAACCGTTCACATTTTAAGATTTACTAAATATATCATAACTGTAAAAAATTAACTTGATCGGATATCAAAAAGTATGTGTTCATTTTAAGAAAAATAAACACACTTAAAAATGAGATAAAGGGTGTGCTTAGTCCAGTTTCAGTTCCAATACTAGTTTTGAAGATTTGACCTCAGTTTCACAGACTTCAATTATCACAACACTCTTCAGAAAGAAAATTGATAAGAAACAGTAGAAACATACAGGTATGTGAGACTGGAAACATTTCCCAGTTCCTTCGGAATTTCCCCTGATAAGCGGTTTGCAAGAACAGAGCTGCATCAAAATTCCATGTCTAATTTTGTTAAAGGAGAAACTTATAATCACTGAGATACTCTGAGAGAGAGAGAGAGAGAGAGAGAGAGAAATTACATTGATTTCAATTGCATAGAAAACCATTCGTGTGGAATTGTACCACTGAGGTAATTGTATGCAAAATCACTATAAAAGAGATAAGGATGAAATACGTTCAATATACCAAGATTTTTATATCATATTTTGAGAACCATGTATAAATCTAATGTCAAAACTTTGGAACATTGGTATTTGAAAGACCCTTACATAGTTTGGATATAAGGAAGCTTCACCAATTCAGGCGGGAGCACGCCAGGAAGACTAAAACCTTTAAGCACACTGAATATGTGGAAAAGAAAAATGAAATTGTTAAAGTCCATACCTGGTTGGCATTAAAAATTAATTTTAACAACAATATATAATGGCAAAAATTGGGATCAAGACAAAACTGAAAGAGACTTCCTGATGGGGAACACAAAGGAGTTGGATAATGATTTAATGATTTATTTGGCATTATTGGATTTTATAATTTTATAGGGTTTTAAAGTTTTATTATAATTTAATTATTGTAATGTTCTATTTTTAGTAAACTTTTCATAATGGTTTCCTAGGATGCCTATAGGATCTAGATTTTGGATATTGATTATTGAGATATTGATTTGGGATTGGTTCTCTTTCTTTCTTTTTTTTCTTTTCAGTCTTCTTCAGTTCTTCGGTGCTACATCACTTCCTTAATATTATGAACCACCTTTTGCTGTTGCTTTATGTTCAACTGATCAATGTATGACATCCATTTTCACCGAAGAACTTTAGGAAGACATAAGCTATTTGATCTAATGAAGATGGAGGCACAATGCACATGGTGTATTAGGAGTAGCCAGAATGAAAGTCTCAATGGCCAGTTACAGTTTAAAAGGAAGTCAAGGATGTTGAACATAACATTAAGTCTCCTCCTAAAAATTTTTATGTTGTCAATTTCAAATGTAATAACATCAATCTTTGGAATTCTATCAGAGTTTGATGTATACCTTTTTAGTTTTGAGAGTACAGGGTCCACCCCCTTCAAGGCGGTTTCTTTTTGGTTAATAAACTTAACCTACTAAAAAAATAAAAATAAAAATAGACAATAAAAATAAAAATAGAATCACACTAAACATAATTGTGTGGAAGACTTGGAGAAACATCTTTAGTAATAAGACAAAGAAATTATACATCGTTGTGACATGACAATAGATGTCATTTGTGAAGTTGCATGGGCAATAAACAGTGCTCTGAGATCCACTTGGTGCCTGTGGTGTTACCCCGACCTGTTCAACTTGGCATGAATCACCATTGAACTTCCAATATTTTGCACCCATTGTAATGGCAATTTGCTGGAGGGCATCCACTAAACAACATGTGCGAAAAAATAACCATAAAAATTGAGCCAATATTACTGAAATAAATTTGTCAAAAACAGACAATATAAAAAATTTACTCCAAAAGTAGATGATAAGTTGAAAAGGCAATTCATTTAACTGCAGACTCTGCTAATTAGAATCACAAGAAATTAGAGGTGATTTTCACTGATCTTCAAACCATCACCCTCTATCAATCCTAAGCAAACAAAAACCTTCAGTATTGTTGTGAAGTTTTGGTAAAAAAAACATAATAGATGCAGTGTGAGACACTAGGAAAGTTCACAAAATAATTAAAAATATGTAAGGAAGTTAATGACCAATTATATGTGAATAAGTTCTGAACTATCAATGAACTCATCAAAGTTAAATGGATCCTTATCTGAATACTAGGAAGTAGGTGATGGGCATCCAAACAATATTTTGTATGCTCTGTTTGGATTCTGTCTTCTATCAAATTATGGACTACTTGTCTTTATTTTTTTATCCGTTCTCTTGTCTTAGCTTGAACCAAATCAGTCCTTCCTTCATGTGCAACTCTGTCTTGCACGTGAAGAGACAAACATACAACCAAACAGAGAAGTAGAATGCAAATAGAGTAACTAGAACCCAAGACCTCCAACAACTATAGCTCTAATACCATAGTAGATCACCAATTGTCCCAAAATCTTAAGTTGTTGGGAGATGGGTCCAGAAATGTATATCAAGCCATCTAACGTGAATTGCCTTAAATAACCTTTTCTCATCTCGTATACTCATCTAACTTCCACAACATCCTTATATTATGCAAAAGATTCATGGAGTTTATATAATCTAGTTATACTCGTATACATTCCACCCACACATGTATTTTTTTTTTTTAAATAATTAATTATTTGTCATCCCAAATGTGGTTATGTTACGAATATTAAAATGTTACAAACTGTAATGATAAAAGTTTTGAACCATTGTTGTTTTGTTACGAATCATTGTGGTGTAGTTTCAAAAGAGCATACGGTATGCACCTTTCACACTGTAATTTGCAATTCATTACCATTCATGTAAAATGAGAATTATGCTCAATTCAAGATTCAAGATGCAGCAACAGATCCTTAATAAGAATCAATCAAAAAAGGGGTCAATCTTACTTCCTATTTGCACTTTTCTGGTGGTGCATCATTTAAGTTAATATTCCAGCAAAAGGTGAATCACAGCAAATTTTTCTGGTGAACCAATGATAAAACCCATCGAAAAGTCTATGAGCAGTTTGGATTCAGAGGTTCCAAACAAATCAACATGCTGTGAAGCATGTTAGCATATTCAAGAAAATCAATTTAATAAGCAAGTTTAGTAGTGATTTCATAGACAGAATGAACCTTCTTGTTTCTGACATCACAGGTCCTTAATTCCCAATCACAGCAACCCACTATCTCTGTAATTGGTTTTAAAAAAAAAAAAGGCCTAAACTCAACCTAGAGGTCTTCCATCTGATTCGAGAAAATCAGACACAACAAAATAAAACTTCTAAATCTTTTGTTTGCTATTTCTTTGATTTTCCCCCAAACTCAAACTAAACTAACCCAAAAAGCCGAGGCAGGCACGTTTTAACTGAACCCATACAATGAAACACCAACACTCAAAATTTCTGTAGTTTGATTGCTTTTTCTTGCATTTTCTTGGCACCCACACAGAAATAACCATCCATATAACATGGGGAAATCTTCTTACCTTCATCTTGTGGCAACTTTGACTCAGAAAATCTCAATGACCAGAAGCAACTTAGTCCAATAATCAAAAGCACAGCAGCGTTCCTGGGAAGTAAATTTTTGAGATAATATAGATACATATTTGTATATATATGTATATGAGAATTCATGTAAGAGCCTAATGAAGAATTGTCAGCCTCCTCTTCATTCTTATTTGTGAACTCAACAAGCGTGAAGATGAGTCCGGAGCTGATCTGAAAAATAGTAAACAAAGAAAGTCGAACAATCCAGAGACAGATGTGAATAATGTAACAAAATAGAAGTAGCTGTTAGACATGGTAGTAATAGCAGCAGTAGTAGTAATAAATAGTAACCATATATGGAATGGAAGTATGGTGATCTATGAAACATAGGTGTTCCAAAAAAATATTGTAGCTGATATTTATCGGTCTATGATATTTTGTATAGTATTTTTTATATATGTTGGGCACATGAAATATTTATTTAAATTTTTTTTTCTTAATTTTTGATACATCTGTACGTACTTAGTATATATTCAAGCAGTATCATGCCTCAGTTAAAATAATATTTTCTTCTACTATAGAGATAAAACTCCTTTTACTATATATTTTTTTTAATTTTTGTATGCTTAGTATGATTTTAAAATTAAACTATAATTTGTAAGTTATTTAATATATTAAGATTTAATTTTGATTTATACTTTTATTTTTGACGTTAAATATTAATTATAGGTTAGATCTTAACAAATTAAACCATTTAATTAATTTTTATATTATTCTAAATTAAAAATACATATTTTTTTACCAACATACCAAATCATACTTATATCTTATTTTTTCAAATTTTATTGTATCAACGTATTTATAGTATATCAATATCAACACTCGTACCGATATCCCTACTTCATAGAAGGTTGTGTTTGAATTTTGCAATGCTTTAATGTAGGTGGATTGCCTTTGATCTATCGTTGGTTGGAGGGCATTCTTTGAGTCGGTTGGAGGGCACAGTTTGGGTCAGTAGTGCGAGCTGATTGCCTTTGATCTATCGTTGGTTGGAGGGCATTCTTTGAGTCGGTTGGAGGGCACAGTTTGGGTCAGTAGTGCGAGCTATCATCTTATTTTGGATCATTTGAATCGTGTATTTTGTAATGGTGATTATAATATATTTAATTTATTGTATTTGTCACTAAAAAAATAACAATAATTATATTTTTAAAAATAAATATAATATATTTAATTTATCGTGTTTGTCATTAAAAAAATGAACAATAATTATATTTTTAAAAATAAATCATTCAATTTTTTAATAACCAACACGATAAATTAAATAAATTATTATTATCAAATCGATTTAATTTGTATATAAATAAAATACACAAAATATCTAACAAATTAAGGGGTGATTTAGGATGATCTAAATAAATGTATTTTTTGACTAATTATGGAATATGGGTTGGGTTTAAAGTAATGTGATAGAGAAGTGATATGACTTAAATAAAATAATGACTTTTTAATTGTTTAACTTTTTAACTTTTTTAGATTATGACAAACAATGCCTTAGTAATTCAAATTAACAAATCAAAACTTACAATAACAACTGTCTCATTTTTAAAAAATTGTGAGTAAGCGGTAATCGAAGCAAGATCCTTTCCCTGAGGTTCTTACTTGACTTATTACTTGTTAGGTCATTGGGCTTACTTTTAGGCTCAATTTTAATAATCCGAACCGTTCATATTTTAAGATTTACTAAATATATCATACATGTAAAAAATCAACTTGATCGGATATCAAAAAGTATGTGTTTGGAAAACTGTTTATTAAATTTTTTTAAAAAATAGTTTTTAGTTAGTTTTCTGAACACATACTTTCTGATTTCCGATCAACTTGATTTTTTACAAGTATGATATACTCAACAAATCTTAAAATGTGAATGGTTCGAATTATCAAAATTAAGCCTAAAAGTGGACTCAATGACTCATCAAGTAAGAATATCAAAGAGAGGATCCTAATACAACGACAATCCACTTAGACTATTAAAACATGAAAAATCTTAATATATTATTATTATTTTTTAATTATGATATTATTTTAATTATAATTTATATTGTGTTTAATTATGAAATATATTTTTTTAATTTCAACTTAAAAAGTTAAAATTATATTATTTTTTAAAATTATAAAATATGAAAAATGATCCTAGTGGAGGTGTTGGGGTTTTCCCTATTTGGCCAAAAAAAAACATTTTTTTATTTTTATTTATTAATTTTAGCCAGTGACAGGCTGCCACGTGACACGGAGTCACTGGGGTCACTCCACTGGGATCCCAGCATTGTTGATAAAATATATATATAATGCACATCTTTTAAAGAAAATGCGTGCCATAGTGTTTCTATAGAACACAGATATATGTGAATGCCTTGGATTGTCTGTATGGACAAGAATGTGATATATACAAATTGGTTTTGGACTTTGGACATTTTTTGGCTGTCATGTCACCGTTGTACAATTCAATATTTGACTGCTTTTGTCGTGTTGTTAGTCGGGTACGTATGATAAGATAATTAATGTTCCCTACGACTAAGTTTTTGCTTACGAGTAATGTTAGAAATTTTAAATATTTAATTAATAGTTTTATCAAATATTTTATGTTGGTGTGAGATCTATACAATGTGAATCTCATGTGAATCCTACGTCCATATAAAATATTCAGTAAAACTTTTAGGTCTAACATTTTTGTTTGTTTACCAATGAATTAATTCCGTGATGTGATATGGTGGCAACAAGTTGTTTAGCTTTGTTTAATATATTTATTAATTTTTTATAAAAAAAAAAATAAAAATAAAAATATAATATAATTCAAATAAATATACTTATTTAAGTTTTTTCCAAACCATCCTTAATTTATGTGCGAAGAAAACACAGATTTTAATTGATTTAAAATTATAAAATTTATAAAAATTTTGGTATTGTCACTTTATTTATTTATTTTTTAGTTAATTACTTAAAAGTTTTATTTACAAATGTTATGGTAATTCAAGTTTTATTTTAAAAAAATTCAACTAATAAATCATATTTAGTAAAATTGAGAATATTATCAATTTCTTTCAATTTTTAAAACTAAAATTATTATTAATTTCGCATAGATAATTGTTTCACTAACTGATAAAAAAAATAGAGTATGAGATTAGACGTTTTTGCCCTTCTACTTATTGGTTTGATTCAACTATTCAATAAAATCAAGAACATTATCAGTTTTTTTTCAGTTTTTAAAACTGAGAATATTATCAGTTTTTCATTTTTAATTTTTTTCCAGTTTGGCACAACACTATTCCATCATCATACTCTTTTATAGATACAAAATTTTCAGTTTTTCCCAAAAAAATAATTCAATTTTCTCAATTTTTTTTTTAAAAAAAAACGTAAGCTTGTTTGGTTTTGGTTTTCAAAAAACACTTTTCAGAAAATTCTACATTTTTATTTTTCATATTTTTTTGTTTTCAATAATTTTTTAAAATATTTTAAGTAATTTTGTTTTTAATTTTTAAACACATCTAACATAAATACACTTAAAAACTATAATATTGGTGAAACAAATCTTTAAAAAAATTCACTAAATAACAAAAATACAAAAAAAAAAACTGAAAAATCAGTACATTATTTGTATTTATTAATTTTTTAAAATATTTTTTCACAAATATTTTACTATTTAGATACATCTAAGTAAAATGCATTTAAAAAAATAAAAGAAAAAATTGTTTAAAATTTTAAAAATATTCACTAAAAATAAAAAAAAAATACGAAAAATAAAAAAAAAAACTCAATTTTCAAAAAACTGAATTCAGAAAACTGAAACCAAATACACTTATTATTATTATTTTTTATTGCACAATTTTTTTTTTAGTTTTTTCAACTTGAAAGTTGATGTTTTAAAGTTTTAAAAATCAAAATAAATGTCAAATCATCATATAATTTTATAGATAATCATAAGTGATGAACAATCATTATTTAAAGGGTAATTCTGGCTATTAAAAATTTAATGATACTTAAAAGTTCAAAAAATCTTAATTAAGACTTAATAGAATACAAATTCATAAATTAAGATTTTTGTGTAAATGTATTTTTTTTTTAAATATTTTTTTACAACTTAATAAAAGCTTATATGAGTAAGCAATAAAAAATGTTATAAAAAAAACTGTGCAGTTGTAATACTCATCTATAAATTTTGGTGGAATTAATATACTTTTTAAATATGAGTCGATAATTTTAAATCAATGACCTAATATTATTGACACATTTTGTCATGTATGAATAAATTCTTTTTTTTTTTTTTGGTTACAGGAAAATCCTCCCGCTCTCCCGCAAATTCAGGATAGCGCCCAGCGCCCATTGCAGAGATTACCAAGGTGTCCTGTTGTCCGTTCCGAGATAGGAGACTATAACCTGGGAACTTGCCCCGATCTCCCAAGACAAGCTCTGCTTAAGTCAGGATTCGAGCAGCGGGGAGCATTGGGCCCATACCAAGTACTATGGTAACAACTTGACACTAACTTCCTAACCAACTGCCCTACGCCTAAGAGATTGACCCAAAAAATTTTAAACTTAACACCTAGATCTTTAACCCCCGGGCCTTTACCAAACACCCTTTGGTTGTAACGCTTCTTCTTGGTGTAACGCTGCTTCTTGGCTTCGTGGTGGGTGTAGCTCCGTTGCTTTCCCT